TCAGCGGAAGTGCAAACTTGTCCCGGAGACTGTTTAGGTTTGAAATCCATTTCCTTTGAAATGCTTTTCATCTTTTTGTAGTTGATTTGGCTTTCCAACTGTTTTCATTTTAAAAGCGCCAGTAATGGTGTACTAAACTATCATAAGCCAGATATCTGATTAGTTGTCACAAAAATCCAATAAAAAAGATGTAAGTTTGGCAAAATGATCCAAAATCTTCCGACCTGGATGAACGGGCCTGGGAATTTCAACTGCAACTAAGAAATGAGGATTATACAAGTTGGATAGGGGCAGACATTTTGCCTTGCAACAGGCCACCGGGTGTCCCTACAAAAATTGAAAAAAAATGTCTTGTAAAGATATAATTAAGTGACGGTGATATCGCCGGATAGGTGTAATTATTTAATTGTATTACTTTTTTTATTTATTAAATCATATTTTCGCTCTCCAAAAATCTTTTTTTGTTTTAATTAGCAAAAAATGAGTTGCATCTCAACCTATCTTGCACCACCGGTCTCCCCCCCTTCCCACCCCAAAAATAAGGCAGAAAAAAAAACCTACACCCACTCACTCACACAACGTTGCCCTTACATGTATACCCACACAAGTATCCCACCGCCTTTTGATAAATGCACACTTAGCGAGAGAGTATAAAAAGTCAGGTTTGACGTCATTGATCATTTTCATCCTACCAAATACAAGATTAATTTTTGTGAATTTGTACAATTCAATTTCACACGTTTCACTCTTAAACTTCCTCATTCTATATTTCCGTTACTGACATTACACAGGAAAAAACAATCAAATGATTCATATGTCGGTACAAGCAATACCCTATCGGCAAACCGAGTACTTTTCACCACACTTGACTTTTGAAATTTAATATGAAAAGCACTCGAGCGTTTTGTTCTATATTTAGAAAGTTTTAACTTCCTTACATGGCGAACTATCAAATGATTATATTGTAAACGAGGAATTTATTATTTCAAAGGGTAAGATAAATGTTTATACTAATGATCCATTGAATGTGTAAGTTAAAACAGATCATATTATTTTTATGATGAAGTCAATGTTCAGTATTTCAATTGTTTAATGACACATTTAACTATTTTACCTGTATTATTATTCAAGGTGTGTAAATGATATCATAATTACACATAAATTACCCACTCTTTTTTCGAAAGATTAAAACTGATCACAAAAACAAATGATTGTCTCTCGTTATTTTACACGAACGGCCTTTACCACATGCAGTTGAACATTTCAATATAAATGTTGTTGTTTTTTATTTGATTGTAAACATCGAGACGCAAATAAATTAATATGCTATTGTATTGCCAACCAACAGTACTGACAAATAGTATCATAATATTTATATTAAATTGTTAAAAAAGCAAAATGGCTTGTTCCTTTAAAAACAAGGAGTTCCGATAAGGGGAAATGTTTGTAGTTATTAGCTTGTACATATGACTTTTGAGAACACCTACGCACAAATCGATATATTACACAATACATGCATAATCATATTTAAAGACGATAAAATTCCATAAACTGATAGTATTTGGTTAATCGTAGAGTGAACCTTAGTGTCAGCCAATTAAAGAGATTTAGGAATGCCTCTTTTATCCGACAGAAGTCCGTAAACATGATGCATGCGTACGGAAACAACGACTTACGTGTATAACATAATATATAAGAAACACAAGTTATACAAATGTAGGTTCACCCGAATTCTACACGTAATTATTGGCAATTTGCTATTATATGGAAGAAGATGGAAAATGCCACGGATGATACTAGAAGCCTTCAAAATCTATTAAAACAATTATCCTTCTTCTAAAAAAGAAACCACCAGCCCAAACCCGTAAAATCCAAATTTTGCCTCCTTCCCATAAGTCATAGAAAAAACAAGAAGAAAGTAACTGAATCTTCTGTTGAAATTAGTGTCAACAATGTATGCACGTATTTTCATTAAAGCTTAGAACTATTTCTTCTTCCAACATTTTTAGATGAAGCGTTCATTACTGTCAAAGTCCTGAAAAGATTTCAGATTTGAAGAGGAAACCTATCTAGAAAATTTTAATACACCACCAGTCAAAATTAATAGCCTGTTACATAATTTTCAACTTTTTGATTTTAAGAACAAAGTTTGTATTATTGAAAAGCAGCATAATATTTCCCACAGAACGTAACGAATAGTTAGCGTGCAATATCATACACTAATTTACCGTCTATACTAGTATATGAGGACAAAAAGCAAGTGTATTGTCCCACGACATATCAACTATACCCCGATTTTAAGATGAGTGAAATACTGGGTTTGGAGGGGACAATAAACTTGATATTGTCCAAATAACCAGTAAATAAGTATTTCATTATTTCGTTAAAGCAATACTTTTGGAAACTATCAACCCGCGGTAAATAGCCTTTTACGGGGAAATGCTTGATTACAGTAAATAGTTCATACTGAGTGAAAAGGTTTTGAAATTATTGACCAGTACATAGTCTTTTTCAGACAATTTCGTAAAAAAGCAAATTTATTTGTTTGGAAATTTATACAGAAAATATAAACTGAGGTATAAAATATAATGCACGCGAACTTTTCGTTCTTATGTTTTGCTGGAAATATGTTGCTATTCAATAATACAAATTTTGTGCTGAAAAAATAACAAACGGTAAATAACATAATCTATAAATATAAACAAATGAGAACAACCACCGTCAAAATAAATGCAACGAGTAGGAATTAGTATGGCACCTTATATGAGTGAAAACATTCACCATTACGAGTATGTTGTGTCAATATATTGATGGGCATATTGATTAGTGTCTTGAACAAGAGAACTTCTGTAATTAAATAGTTTTGCTAATTATTACACTTGTCAGCGGTAATATTGAATTATTCGGAGTTTACTGCCTTGCAATCACACATTTGTCATTCATAACATTTTCTGTAATTGCCACATGGGTTCCTATAAATCATTTCATTACTATTATTAAATGTACAGGAATATATGCAACCTCATTAATTATTTGAATTCCTAACTTTCTGAATGTGAACGTATTTATTTTAGATTCGTGGAATTCCTCATGTGATGCTTCATACTACACACATATTTTGTACTTGTACCCTGATACTGTGTATTGCCAATTTTGGAGTATCAACAATTACACAAGGAACAGGGATAGTTTACACAGCGGATAGACGTATATGTCAAAATATAACATGGTAATATGACTTTCTTCATTTTCAAATCGATTGATGATCATTGATAACGTGTCGTAAGAAATACTTCTTGTATTTATTGATTTTCAAGCAGTCCAAGGAGACATTTCATTTCAAAAATCATAAAAAGAGGTTTAAAAAAACACAAGATATACATGTACATGTACGTACCGTTTAAATTATCGACTTTAACTTTGGATTCATGTAGTAAATATTGCCTTTTGTTGTAATCTATATAATGTGGAGGAAGCCGGAGTGCCAGGAAAGAACCACCGACCTTCGACAGGAAAACTTGCAATCCTAGTCAATAACGACCGGAGTCGAATGGATCTGCCACGTGCGGGGCTCCAACTCACAACGTCAGTGTTGACATGCTTGTAATCGCTGTACTTATTATACTATTAGGCAACAGAGGCCCCACAATGGAATATTCAATTTAAAGTAATCATCATTGGGAGGTCGTGCGTTCGATCCCGAACGGGTCACACCAATGACTTGAACATTTCTATCGGTATTATTGTATTTGTTGCTTCACCGGCTGGCAAGCTAGACTGCAACATGTAGGAAAAAAACATATACCAATTTCTTCAGTACTGTTTGCAGCATTAGTTCAATGTTAAAAACATAGTTAATAAAATCTTGCTGCTACTGTAGCAATATCTATTTTCAATAAAAGTAGATTATGCATTGTATGATTTCGAACGATTTATTTAAAGAATTGCATTCATTGCAATACAATCGTTACTGTAACACCCCATCTTGAAAGGCTACAATTTCCTATGTATATGTCTAATGTTATTCATCTGGTCGTGTAACATGTACATTGCAATTGTGTCTGTCTTAAATCAGGAACGTCTTCAGTGATTTTCAGTTTAATTTGAAGCTTCATGTTTGTTCCATGAAGTAATGTTTTATGTTGAAGTGTGCTATTTTGCCAGTCTCTGTGAATTTATTCACAATTTTGCAGGACTCGAGGCTAATTAGAGCTTGACACATGTAGACACTTGTCTTTTGATGAAGAACATATTAATTTCATCGGAAAATATCAAGACCTAATAGATAAATATTCAGTGTCTACTTCAATATAATACATGATGGTCTTGAGTTATAGATTCTAGATGCTGAAGTTGTGTATCTTTTTATTTTACTTCAGTTTTCCCTTTATTTGTCTCCGTGCCATTATGTTTCTTTTGGTCGTGTATGACTTTTGACGTGACTCCGTATTTATACATCCCACCATCGGGTTTTTCAACTTTTTAACTTTGAGCATTCCTGGCGCCGGTGGGTTCTGAGGTGCGATTCGGACTCTAAGGGTTTTTACAGTGTTGTTTCTATTTTGTTTACCCATGTATTTATCTTTATTCAATTTTCACTTAACCGACAAAGTGAAATATAGTCTCTGTGTAGGTCTGTGTAGGTCTGTGATGTATGTTGACACAGTTTTGGCTGCTTGATCTCAATTATTGTTACATTAACCTACTATGTCTCTTTTGGTTGCTCAGCCAATTTTGTCAACATAACGGAACTATATAAACAACTGTCATACAAGTGGGAGATTTAGCTATCTAATAAACCGGGTTTAACCCACCATTTTCTTCGGAAAATGCCTGTACCAAGTCAGGAATATGGCAGTTGTTTTTCACTTTTCCGTTGATTGATAGCGTTTGTTTTTGTCAGTTTTTATGGACTTCCCCTTTTTGAATTTGCCTTCGAGTTCGGTATTTTAGTTATACTTTTTTATATTAACCTTCATATTTTTGTGTTAGTCGTATTTTCATCTAATTTGCGAGAAGGTATGTTTTAAAAGGAGTATAACAAACGTTTAAAATTTTTAACATTCCAATTTTTTGTCTTATGGTGTTTAGTCTACAAAATGCGATTTGTCATTTGTATTTTCAATTTGCTCTCACTTTTTCACAGAAGTAACTAAAGTGAATTTCTATTGAGACGTATGTGTTCGATTTCCCTAAACAATTTTTTTGTTCTTACCTGTTAGATTCAATTCCTTTCGGTAAAAATTCATAATTTACAAATTTCGATAAACTAGGTTTTGAAGGTTTTTTTAATTCAATTTCTCTATTTGGCATAAAGCAGATACGTGTTCCCCAGTTTTTACTTTATAGAATTTAGAATGGAAATAGGGAATTTGTCAAAGAGACAACAACCCAACTAAAGAGCAGAAAACGTCCGAAGGCCACCAATGGGTCTTCAACACTGCGAGAAAATCCCGCACCCGGAGGCAGGCTCCAGCTGGCCCCTAAATAAAAATGTGTACTAGTTCAGTGAAAATGGACGTCATACTAAACTCCAAAACATATAAATGAACTAAAATTTAAAAAAACATACAAGACTAACAAAGGCCAGAGGCTCCTGACTTAGGACAGGCGCAAAAATGCGGCGGAGTTAAACATGTTTTGTGAGATCTCAACCCTCCCCCTATACCTCTAGCCGATGTAGAATAAACAAACACACAGCAATACGCACAGTAAAACTCAGTTTAAAAGAAGTCCGAGTCCGATGTCAAAATAGGTAGCAAAAGAAACTAAGCAAAATGACAATGATACATATATTAACAAAGGACTACTAGCAGTTACTGACATGCCATACAGCTCCAGACTTCAATTAAACTGATTGAAAGATTATGTCTTCATCATATGAAAATCAAGCAAAATCCCTCCCGTTAGGGGTTTAGTATCATACCATCATAAAATATATGAGAAGAACATAACCCGTATCATGCCAACAACTGGTTTTAGAACAAATGTGTTTATTTCCAATGCAAAGACCCTATGAGTGAATCAATATTAATACCAAAATATGCCATCTTCAATGATCTGACAACAGTATCGTAACTATATCCCTTCTGAATAAGTCTGTTTAAAGGTTTGGTTAGCTTTTGAGGTGGTGAATGCCGACATTTTTGTGCTTTGTAAGAATATTACCATAAAAAATTGGATGTGAAATACCTGAACGTATAAGATGTCTGCATGTTGATTTATATTTACGAATAATGTCCTTGTACCGATGATAAAATTTAATAAATGTTTGGACTAGTTTGTGATATCGAAAACACTGGTGTAATAATTTTTCAGTGATACAGAGATTTCTTTCGTTAAAATCAAATACAGCGTACGTTGTTACATACACGAGCGAATCGAACAAGTTGAGATATATAAACACCATGAGATGGTGACAAGGGAACGTCACCATCTGAAAATGGATAATTAACAATAGAAAATGAAAAATCATCTCTTTTATCATAAATTTTGGTATTAAGCTTCCCGTTAAAGATATAAATATCAAGATCCAGGAAAGGAAGTGTTCATTGTTAGTATTAGCTTTATTTAAAGTCAGTTCAGCAGGATAAATATCTTTAGTGTACATACTGAAGTCGTCATTATTGAGAGCCAATATATCATCCAAATATCTAAAAGTGTTATTAAATTTTTGTATCAGATGTTGTTTCGATGGGTCTTTGCTGATTTTAGTCATAAATTGTAACTCATAACAATACAGAAACAGGTCCGCAATAAGTGGTGCACAGTTAGTCCCCATTGGAATTCCGATAACTTGACGATATACGGAATCTCCATATAGCGAACAAAAATGCTATCTAGTAAAAATTCAAGGGCAGTTATAGTATCAAAGCAGGTCCAATTGACATAGTTCTTTTGTTTTTTGTTACTAAAAATGACCTAAAAGAGTTTGAACATATATATTCGCATTCTGACTTTTTAAATGCCCATATAATTAGGTGTGTGAATTTTTTCTTAAAAAAATTATGAGGCAAAGTGGTATATAGGGTAGAAAATTAAAAACTTTGAACAGATTCGAACTCCCCAATATAAGCATGCAATTTATCAAGTACTTCAAAAGAATTTTTGACACTCCAAAAGTTATTAATTCCACTATTTTCAAAAGCCTTATTTGAACAATTTATTACCAGGTTTTTAATTGTACTAAGTGTACTTGTAAGTAAAATAGACAGTTTAGTAGTGGAAAAATGGCTTGAAGACGAAATAAATCTATATTTGTAAGGTGTTTTTTGCAGCTTCGGAAGCCAGTACATAGTTGGAACTTTCATTGTATTTGGTTCTGCTTGTAAAGGGGTAGCTAAAAGTTTATGTTTGTTACAGAAGTCATTTTCCGAATATGGAGTCAGTTGGAATGTTGGTTAATTCGTGATTTCCTTTTGCAGAACCTCAATGTAAAGTTTACGTCAAACAATAATGATATTATTAGCAGCCTTATCAGCCGGGACAAAAACAAATTCCTTGGCGAGTTCTTTTAGCTTATGTTTGATATGAGAAATAGGGCTATTATGGTTGTTGTTATGAGTAAAATGTTCTTTAAAATGTTGTATACGTATATCAACTACTTGTATGTTCATTACTGAATTAAAAAAAGAATCTAAGGATTCCTTGTCAGCTTTTTCGCGTTTTATCCATTTCGAACAGTAAGTACGGAGTGAGACGTGGATGATGTTACGACACTCATTCCCATTAATAATTGACGGGGGACGATATTTAGGTCCTTTACTGAGGAATGATTTCAACTCTCGGTCACGAACGATGTTATGGTCTCCTGTTATAACATGGGAACTAGGGCCATAAATGTATTCGGAATTACTGCAATTTATGACGTAGGTGTATTGTCACTGATATTTACATCTTTACACACTTCGCTATAATTAAACACATATTTCCGGGTAAATTTTTTGTAAAAATAACAAATAAGAGGGAGAGTTCAGTATTATCAAAATAACAAGGAATTTGTTCTTTAACAGAATGATCATTAAAAATACCGGCAATGTTTATAAAATCAAAACCTTTATTGTTATATTTGATATTTTAATAAAATGTTTTTTGTGATCTTCAGGGCGATCAATTTTGGGAAACAGTTTAGAATAACAATATGCAATTATAATTTGGACGATTTCATAATTAGGACTGCAATATGGAATTGTGTTGCAATCCTCTAAAATTTGAAATAGTTTATTAACAGGTAAAGAACAGAGCTTGGTCAACAGATATTATTATACTTCATGTCAAAATGCCAGATTTTGATTGGTTAATACGAGGGTGACAATTTACTCTATCCCATGGCAAATACTCTATTACCCTTCACGGAGACGTTTGCTCAAGTGTGCGCTTTAATAAGTACGGATGATTGTTATGTACAAGGCGACATAGTTTATTACTTTGAATTTGAAATTTGATAGACAGTAATAACAGAACATTCAGTATAATAAATTAAATAACACATATCTGAGAGGGTGATAGAGCAGATTGTTACCCCTCGAAAAGACATTGTCAACCTTGGCCTCGTCTCAGTTGACAATGTTTTCTCGGGGTAACAATCTGCTCTATCACCCTCTCAGCTATGTGTTATTTATATATTGTCTACCGTTGTTTTTTGAAATAGAAATTAGGTCCGAATATTTGTATTGTTGGTACGAAATTTTCTTTGATTGCGATTTATTCTACGGCCATGAGAACGGTTTTTACAAACTGTTTTAGAAACTATATCCAAAATGTTAACAGAATCGGTTCTTGATATAATACCAATTCCCATGATATTATCATTAAGACCGAGAGGATAGACTGTCTGTAATTTTTTAATCCAATTTAATTAAATTTCCGTGATCGTACAAACTTTGAATAAGATTCCCCAGGCTGCTTATTTACTACTTCTAAAGGTTGAACTGTTAAATATTTAATAGGATGATTGTGCTTCTTAAGATGTTGATAAATGATACTTTTGAATTTATGGGGTCTTTTAAAACGATAAAGGTGTTCTTGCGTGCGTTTAGATGAATAGCGTCCAGTTTCACCTACGTACTGAATACGCAATCCTGGTTTGTTTCTTGTGAGTAAAAAGATAATGCTGTTAGTTTTTCAATTGATATCAGTTTCAAAATTTAGGGAAAATGTGCGACCGTTAAACGTGGACCTTATCGTGTTGTTGGTGGAAAGACGGGGGCATGTAAGTCATGTTTTGGCGACATGTAATTCATTTTTTGGCATGACACTTATCGATAGAAGGGTAACCGTGATTTTTATTATTAAAAATGTTAGCGATTGTAGTATTTTTAGATAAGCGATTTTGAAGAATGAGACGTGTAGATACCCTTTGAACGAGTTTAGTATTAAGTATTTTTCCATTTCTCAGTTTCATTATTTATTTTTTGTTATCCGTATTTAAATTGAAAGGAGCAAAGACTGGCGTATAGAATATGAACCAGCACACAGGAATAGAATAAAGTAAAAAAGATAAAACTGTTCGGCTAAAAACGTCAAACGCTATCCGTCATCAAGTACCCGACAAAATACGTTAACTACAAAACCAGAGGACAAAAACAAAAGACAGGATATATCAGGGTAGCGCCTGACGTCTGACTAAATAGTAGAATGGGGCTGAATAGTGAAATATGAGTTTTAAATAAATATTCCTAAAGTAATGAACATACATGTAGAGAAGTTCTCGCTCGGACACACACTCCATTATCTTGTATATTATAAGAGCATAAACCTGAAGCACGAGGAGGCACTCTACTGTCTCCACACGGCACTAAAGACAAACTATTATGTCCACTTACAATGTATATTTATACGATTGCCAATGAGACAATTCTCTACCAGAGAACAAATGACATAGAAGTTAACAACTATAGGTCACCATACGGCCTTCAACAATGAGCAAAACCCATACCGCATAATAAGCTATGAATACACGTTATCTCTATTTGTCCGCCATTACTGGTATGACGCCACAAAGGAAAAGTGATTGTTGTATGACGTAAATAGTTCAAGTGGCGCAGATTCCCAAATAGCGATAAGGTCTATGCCGGCCTGATATGACAAACGTAAAACAATTCAATCAAGAAAACTAACGGCCCTGATCGATAGTTTGGTTTTCAAAAACGTTTGCCGTACGCGAAAATCAGTTCATGGTGTGCGATTTCTAAAAAATGTTAAAACTGGTTTCTAAAGCAAACTTTTATATTTAAATTTGACAGAAATAGGATAGGATGTTAAATTAAAATTCATCTAGGCAAAACTTTTTTTATTTTTTTTGTCTCTAATTATCAGTTCTCTTCAATATCTGGTCTATAATGCAGAACTCACTATGAGTTTTTGTATCTATTCTTTTTTTTTTTTCTACTTCAAACATATTTTATTTTATATATATATATATATCTGTATGTTTTGTTATTTAAAGTATAGTAAATTTTAAGCTATTTAAATTGTTAAGGAACATCCAAATTGTTATTTCTGTTATGGTATATATTTTTATTTTATTATGTCATTATAATGTGTAAATTACTAACAAAAACTGGTTTCTAGTGCTTGATGTGAATGTATTTTTTTTTATGTTGAATGATTATGTTATACATGTCTATATGTAGAGGATGTATTTAAATTATTATGGTTCTCTTTTAAATACCGTCTTATTTTTCAATTGGAGTATGTCTCGGTGTTATAACACAAACTTCAAAAGTAGAACTTTTTTTCAACCACTCTGTGTTTATGAATAAGTTTGATAAAATGTCGAAAAAAATCTCAATTGTTTCTATTCAATTGTCCTTCCATTTTAGCAACAAGAGGGAAGTCTGCAGTAAAAATAAACTGAGTACTTTTAACATTTTACCAATTTGATTCATGGACAGAACATTCAGTATTAACATATTGGCTTACACATCCCCCTTGTTAAGGAGCATTGAAGATGACTTGACTATGGGATGCATTGTGCTGAACGTATAACCGGTTAAACCATCGAAGTGATGTGGGAGATGCTATACAAAGATACCTGGCATATAATTGTGTACACCAGACGCGCGTTTCGTCTACAAAATTTACGCAATTTAGTATTTAATCTGTGTTCTGTTATTTTCGACATCAGTCTTATAATGCAGACGATGTTATTATTCATCTCTCTACCCCGTAGTATTTCCGTAATATTTTTTCAAACCACTATTTTTAGTTTTAATAGTAAATATCTAGATTAGACTGAAAACATATACAGGATTTATTCTATGTCATAATATTTACTTCGCAAAGAGCCGCGTGAGATTGATTAATACTTATGTACCTATTATTTACTTGTTTGTTAGGAAACTGGAGAGTCATGATGTTTATGTTAACGTGACAAAGGTCGCGAGAAAGGGAGATGGGTAAGTGCAATTATTGAGTTGTACAAGCGTTTTGTTCAGATATTTGTATTTACAGCATTTGTTATTAATGAGATGTTTTTAGTATTTTATTTTCAAAGGACATGGAATATTTTCATATATTAATGCAAAATTATGACTTGAAATAAAACTAACACGTTTTACTCTTAGTTTCATCACGTATCTGACGCCATCTGGTTATTGATGGGTGGAAAATACATGTACAGAAGAGGTTAACAGGTTACACGTATGGTGTCTACTCTGGTTTGTGTCTCGCCTGCGACAAAAGTCGCAGTATGCGAAACATAAGGATAACTATCCGGCGTCGACCTGGATGATGCAGATACCTTATGTTACGAAGTTTCCGTCTGTCATATGGCCATTGTCCTTGACCTCATTTTTCATGGTTTAGTGACTGCTTGAAAAAAATTCTCACTTGTTAAGAGCTATTGGATAACTATATTTGGTATATGAGTTCCTTGCAATGTCTACATGTCTGTCAGACAGGGTTCACCTGACCTCGACCTCATTTCATGTATCAGTGATGAAGGTTAAAGCTACGTGATTAGGTCCGTTTCCCAGATACTTTAAGTAGTAGGTCAACTGTATGTGGTGTATGGAATGATTGTAAGGGGTACATGTCAGTCTTGCAGGTTTCATCTGACCTTGACCTTTTTTTCATGGTTCATTGGTCAATGTTACGTTTTTATGTTTTGGTCTGTATTTCAAGTACTATAGCAATAGGTCAACTATATGTGGTGTATGGAATGATTGTAAGGTGTACAATGTCTGTCTAGCCGGTATCACCTGACCTTGACCTCATTTTCATGATTCATTGGTCAATGTAAATTTTTTGTGTTTTTGTCTGTTTTTTCAATTACAATAAGCAATAGATCAACTGTATTTAGTGTATGAAATAATTGTAAGGTGTACATGTCTGTCTCACAGGATTTATCTGACCTTGAACTCAGTTACATGGATATTCAAAAATGTTAAGTTTATGTGATACTTGTAGTAAAACTTTTATCTTTAAGACTTTCAACATGCAATCAATGGTCAGTACAGCAGGCGAGACATTTCAGCGTGTGCACTCTTGTTATCAATATTTCCCAAACTTTTTTGTGTTTTCATTTAGAAACTTCGTAGTAAATTGGAAATTTTATATTTAGGAAAAAATATATTTTATAAATCTTAAACGTTGAACAGAAAGGCTTTGCATATTCGTATATATATATGTTTTCATGAAAGTATATGAAACTATTGATTTGGACTATCCTTAATGATGTTGACGCTGATATCAGTAATTGATATAAAACAAAATGCTCACGATTGAACCACTGCCTTACTCTGAGTTAATGGTTATTACATGCTATCAACATAATCACAATGCAGAAAAGACGTTGTTTAGGACATGAGAAAATGGATATATAGGTTCAGTCGAAATCCGTTTTGTTTACTCAAATTGGATATAGAAGGAGCAATATAACGCCGTCTGTTTGCTTAAGAAATAAATCCCCCAAACATTCCGTTTAAATTTATTTGCTGCCGGACAGAGCTCTGGATGACCATATTCCTTCACAAACGTCAGTCCTTGGATTTTTTTTTTCATTTTTCGAATCAGGAATACTATTGCATAGGGTAAAAGAAGTCAAATATGATTGAATACTCAGGCATGTTTTAACAGAGACGTTAATGTTCTCTGTCTTTATTTAAACAAGTATTGTATTTTTAAAGAGGTAATGAGTTGATTGAACATATTTTAGTAGGAGATTTTAATTATTGAATTTTCTTAGAAAATATTGTATATTAAATATTTTTTCAGTTCAGGGAAAAATGTGAACCACACAGTGCTTAAGCCTGGATTAGTTAATGTTACCACAACGACGGAGATTTGTTGTCCAGGCTTCTTTGAAAAAAGAAAAGGGAAATGTAAAAGTAAGCTTTTCAATTTACTTACTGCTCCGTTTATGTCTGGAATATTATAATGTGTAGACAAAAGTCATAATTACGTTTTTTCCTTATTTATCTTATATATATCAGTGAAAAATATTTTTGAATTCCTTTTCATCCACTAGGTAGGACCAATTTCCCCGGTGTTTGTTTCACCAAAATGAATTGATGTGTATCTGACAGACTTCCTTTACCGATTTACTTCCGACAGATTTTGGTTGTTGTTATACATGTCATTCTTATTTTATATAAGGAAATATACTCTGAAGTTTGACCGAACCTTAAAAATTGCATGTTATAAGCTATCTTTAGTGGTTTATAAGTTGTTTCAATTCAGATATATGAATTACGTAGGTGTTGATATAAACTCTCAACTACCCACATAGAGCTGTGATATTGTTAATTTTAGTAAAGATTTAACGACTTTTTTCAATTGCAATAAATTCAGGGGAAATTGGTCCAATTCCTTTTCAAAAATAATCTGAGTATATTTTAGTTTCTAATGATTAACCTCACATACATTTGTTTAATATTCCAGGTTACGTGATTTGGTTGTAAAATTTAATTTTGATTTATTATTATAATTACATTTGTAATAAAATCTACTGATATAAAAATAAGTCAGGTAACGTTGTGTTGTGTCAGATTCCAAAAGCTTGTGAATTAATAAAATCACAAGAATTAAACATTATGTCCCAGTTTGCAACCGGTCAGTTTACAGTAAATTGATAAAGATCTAAAAAAAAAATCGGCTAAGATAAGAGAGTATGTTTTTGAAAATTACCGAAAGGAATTAATTTTTCTCCACATTCCGTTTGTAAATTGTGCGATTTATGCAACGTTTTTTTTTGTGTGTATCTAGTGTATTGTGAACTTTTTAGCCAACTTCTTCTGTAAAATGTACTTCAATAATGTAAGAGTTCTCCTTTAAGTGATTTTTTAAAGGCAGTGCTTTAATGCCTTTCTAGTTGCCGGGTTAATCCTTCCTTCCGCGATATCCAACTTATCTACGTGGGGGGTCATTAGGCTCCAAGTAGATCCGGAAATGTTGAATTCTCTCCTCTTCTTATTGCGATATAAAATGTTTTTTGTTTCATTTCATTTACATTGGGAAATAGAGAAACGATCATTGTGTTTTTTTAGTTTTAAAAACTTTTGATATATTAGTATTTTGCATTATAAGCAGTCAACCGATTGACAAACTAGAATTATTTGAATTCCGTGTGGAAAGAGCTCGGGTTAATTTCGAGTGTTATCTGCAATCTAGATGTTTATAAATCATTTCAGTCGTTGATATAATAATTAATGGTCGACTGAACATGAATTATAATATACAATTTAAAGCGTATTTCTGTTTATGCACGTGAACCCGTCTAACGTTATTGTAATTTCGCAGTTATATAAAGTAGCAAATTATCGTTCCTGAATAGGTGGCGCCATTGTAGCGGATCCTGTTCCTCTACTTCCGGTTTCTGCACTGTGCAACTATTTCAGTTATATTTTTAATTAACGATGCCAAGTACTTGTTGTTGTGTACCTGGATGTCATTTAAGAGGAGGACATGCATTTCCAAATGACTTAAAAAGAAGGAAAAGTTGGATCAACGCCATGGCCCATACGCAGATTGGACGAGAACACGATGATATCGTGGAGTCCATCTCAATCAGCTGTTGTTTGCAAGGCACGTTTTACTGAAAAAGACTACGTGCAGGAAACTATTCATGGTAAAACTCTATTTTCTTTGTGAAATATATAGTTATATATGTAATCGCCAATAAACCAAAGTCTGTTTACAACCGCAATTATCGTTTTAGAATAAAAGGGGGTGGGTAATTCAAGACGTCATAATTTTTTGGATTACGATTCAATGTGATCTGTTTGAGATTTTTTGGTGATTGCTACAATTATAATGATTTCTTACAAGAGGTATATCATACTGAGAATTATTTTAGCAGTAATTATGCTAATGTAGTAATCATGGTAATGACAGGAATGCATAAACTTTCTTGAAAAATATCAATGACAATGTTAACAGGAACAAAACAATGACATGCTCTCATCTATATTATAGTTATTTAGGTACAAACAATGTACGTTTGTTGCATAAGTCTCTCATTGTTTGTCCTTTGGATTTACATAACATACATTGAATCAGGCAAACATAGTTTTATCCAGATTGTAATGAATAAATCTAGTTAATATTTCGCCAGGTAGTACAAAGTATACATTGCTAATGGAAGTTCATTTAATTAAGTCTCCCAAACGAAGTTTGGGAAGACTTATTGTTTTTGCTCAGTTCTTCTTCTTCTTCTGCCGCTTTTAAATTTGAACTTGTCCGCACCCGTTCTCCAAAACTGCTTGTCAGATTAACTTAGGGTTTCACAATATGTTACACTAATATGTCTAGTGGTGCAATCAGGGTTTTGTTTGTGCAATGGGGTTTATAAAGGGGTACTTTGAGGGGCAAAAAGAAAAGAGGGTTTTACTATAGAACCCTATGGGATTTTATTTTTTTAAATTTTCAAATGATTATAAATTGAAAACCGTTTGTGATAGACACAATCTTTTTAATTGAAAATGTTCTAAATGATAAAGCCCATTAAATGAAATACAGGATTAGTCCCCAGGGGTCACCCCCACCCCCTGCCATTTAAGAAAGTTCTAATACCTTGTAAGTGGTCAAGATCCCCACCCCTAAACCATATATATTTTGGTTTGTTATGCTAAGATGGTTTGAATGATATACAGGATTAGTCCCCAGGGGTCATCCCGACCCCCTGCCATTTGAGAAAGTTCTAATATCTTGTAAATGGTCGAGATCCCCACCCCTAAACCATATATATTCTGGTTTGTCATGATAAAGCACATCAAATGTAATACAGGGTTAGTCCCCAGGGGTCACCCCCCACCCCCTGCCATTTAAGAAAGTTCTAATATCTTCTAAGTGGTCAAGATCCCCACCCCTAAACCATATATATTATGGTTTCTCATGCGAAGATGGTTTGAATGATAAACAGTGTTAGTCCCCAGGGGTCATCCCGACCCCCTGCCATTTGGGAAAGTTCTAATATCTGGTAAATGGTTGAGATCCCCACCCCTAAACCATATATATTCCTATTTGTCATGTCTCGAACATTTGAATGACGTATATGGTCAGTCCCCAGGGGTTCCCCCCACCCCCAATGTTCTAATATCTTGTAAATGGTTGAGATCCCCACCCCTAAACCATATATATTCCTGTTCGTCATGTAATGAACATTTGAATGACGTATAGGGCCAGTCCCCAGGGGTTCCTCCCCACCCCTAATATTCTAGTATCTTGTAAATGGTCGAGATCCCCACCCCTAAACCATATATATTCTGGTTTGTCATGCCAAGATGATTTGAATGATATACAAGGTTAGTCCCCAGGCATCACTCATTCATATAACTTTACTGGACCAAACCAATTTTCACTGGACGTTGCCCAATGTCAGGCGACCCTGGGAATTACGAATTATGGGAGCTTCGTTTGGGAGACTTTGTAACAGCATCCTGTTACAATCATTTCTTGTTATAAAAAAACTAATGTTTTATAACCTATTTCAGGGCGCAAACCCACCATACAGAGACTTAAGTCTACTGCCATTCCCAGCCTATTTTCCTGGACCAAGCAAGAGACTGAATCGTCCGCAAAAAGAAAAATCAGGGCAGTTTCCTGTGAAAACAAAAGAACTAAACTTGATGAATATTGTAGTAGAAATCTAGAGGAAAGTTTTGATTGTAAAGTTGGTTTTCCTGAAGAAGTCATTCATACTGCAGAAAGGATTTATGACTGTCCACCACCAACTGCCGAGCTAATGTTGAGCTTCACAGATGGAATTATGCAAACACCATCAATGCCTATGTTTTCAGCAGAGAATTTTGAAATGAAGACACGTGACACAGCCATGCATTTTTATACCGGTTTAGAGTTGTATACTAAATTTTTATTTGTTTTGACCACACTTGGTCCAGCAGCACATTGTTTGAGATACATATATTTTCAAATTGATAGGGTGTCAGTTGAAAATCAGTTTTTTTATGACTTTGATGAAATTGAGGCATCATACAACCAACTTTGAACTGTCTAGATTCTAGATTGAATCTAGTGTTAAGAGTATTGTGTATACATGGATTGTTTTTATGTCTAAACAGTGGTGTGAGGCTAACACTTGGCCATCTAGTGGTTTAGTCAGGTATTTTTCACCATCCAACTTCAAATTAAAGTTTCCTACAACTTGGATTATTATTGACAGCACAGAATATCCTAAAATAAAACCTAAAGCTCCTAGAGCTCAGGCAACCTTTTCATCAAATAAAAACAGAAACACTGAAAATTCTTGAATGTTCGACACCTGGTGGTTTAGTCAACTATGTCTCTATGTCACATAGAGCGAATTATTGGACTTGGCAAAACATACAAAATTCTAATAAATCCTATGAATGGAACTGAAACAAAACTTTCATCTGAAATAACATTTAGTTGTTTTATGTTGTGTAATTTTAGAACTTGTATTTTGCCAAAGGATGCATAAATAAAAGTGACGCAATGAATTTTGTTCTGATATATATATATTTACAATTACATGCACATGTAAATTGTAATGCATATAAAAATAAGGAGATGTGGTATGATATTCAGTGAGTTTATCAAACTAAAGTGCATAAGAAATGGGTTTAAGCAGTTACAGGTGTTACTGTCACCGTACAATCTCCAACAATGAGAAAAACTCGTACCCTGTAAAAAATTTCAGAGATCTTACAACTAAGTTTTGTGTTCTCACCTTGACTTTGGTGAATTTTTTATATCTGTTGATGTAAATATAAAAAAGAAGATGTGGTATGATTGCCAATGAGACAACTCTCCACACATGCACAAGAGACCAAATGACACAGAAATTAACAGCTATAGGTCACAGTACGGCCTTCAACAATGAGCAAAGCCCATACCGCACAGTCAGCTATAAAAGGCCCAGAAATGACAGTGTAAAACAATTCAAACAAGAAAACTAACGGCCTATTTTATGTAAAAAAATGAACAAATATAACAAATATGCAACACATAAACAAACGACAACCACTGAATTACACTTTTATAGGCTCCTGACTTGGGACAGGCACATACATGTACATACAGAATGTGGCGGGCTTAAACATGTTAGCGGGATCCCAACCCTCCCCCTAACCTGGGACAGTGGTGTAACAGTACAATATAAGAAAGAACTATAAAAATCAGTTGAAAGAGGCTAAACTCATCAGATGGATAAATACAAATACAAGTGGACGTGGTCGGGTAGTTGTACATCCAAACAACAAAAAGACACTAAGTACAGATCTGAGAGTACTCGCAGTTACTGACAGCTAGTTCAAAGCCACTAACAACTGATAAAAAAATCTTGCATCTAAGACTAAATTATCAATCCGTAAGCTCCCTTTAGAATTTTATAAATTTTAGATTTTACATTTTCTGAGTTATGGGGTTTTATTCATTAAAAAAGGGGGGATTTTCCAGTTTTTGGACAACAACTCAAAAATGCTTTAAGCAGTTCACATGAAACTTTGGTGAATTATTTATAGCTATTGATGTAATCTCCCTATTGATTTTCATAAATTTCAAATATGACATTGAGAAGAAATTGAACTTTATTTGTTTATGTCTGGCAACAGATTTATTAAGTATTGCACAACAGCACAGTGTATTGCACAACAGCAAGAAATCTTTAATTGAATATAAATTCAATTCATATAACCGATTTCAAGTTCATTGACTACATTTATTCAGAAACTATAATATGTCAAATATTTAATTACAATCCAAATTCAGACCTGTATCAAGCTTGAATATTGTGTCCATTTTTGCCCCAGCTGTTCAGGGTACCGTAGTACCTCTGCGGGTGTATCCAGCTGCGCTCAGCGAATCAGTTTATTTCTTAATTAAGAACTCCTTTTTTCATTCATAAATTACTTTATGCTTGGAAATATAATTTTGCTTGGAGTTGAAAGAGTTGACATGTTGCAATGTACATTTACTCTACATAGTTCTATGGTACCAAATCAAAAGTTTATATAAAGAAAGAAGTCAAAGGTTTCCCATCATAGTTTAGTTACATACATTTTTTTTGTACCTGAGGTCGTTGAATATAGATCATTATATAAATAAGGAGATGTGTTATGATTGCCAATGAAAAAACTAAGGATTTTCTTATCCAAGGAATAGATTACCTTAGCCGTATTTGGCACAACTTTTTGGAATTTTGGGTCCTCAATGCTCTTCAACTTTGTACTTGTTTGGCTTTGTTACTATTTTGATCTGAACGTCACTGATGAGTCTTATGTAGACGAAACACACGTCTGGGGTATTAAATTATAATCCTGGTACCTTTGATAACTAATTTGACTATAAACATAGATAAAAAAGGTATAAACTGGACATAATGCACTAGTTCATAAACAAGTGAGAACAATCGCCTTCATATAGTGCTCAGAATATGACATTCATAAAACTTGTTCAATATCATTAGAGAACTCTAAATCTTAAATACTGAAAGCCACCTCTGATAAGTACACTGTACTATGCAAGATAATGATATAACTGGACTTAAAATACACACAACCTGTAATTAACTGCCTTTACAGCGCTTTCGTGCTTTGATTGTGTTATGAGGACATGGTTCGCACAGGAAACACTAAACAATGCCACAGTCAAGACATCTAGGATGCCGTTGACAGCGTGTGATTTAGTACAAGTTGTATTCTTAAATAAACAGTTTTCCGTTATGTATGATATATCATTTGTTTTGTTTGCCTTTTAGGGATGAACAATGGATTTACATAACTTTACTTGTACGAAGAATAAATAAAAGTTGAATGCTTGAGGAGGTTAATAATGAAAGTTGCTTTCATCGTAGTCTTTTAATGTATGTGTAATTTAGTAAACATACGCTACAATGATACAAATCATATACACTGTCGTTGTACAAGTAATTATGAAAATGAAGTAAAATTCACTTGAATAAGTAGATAAGATGAAACGAAAAACATTTTCTAAGTTATCATGATTTGTTCTTTATCCTCGAGACGATTCAACAGCGTGCCAAGCGTTTAGATGAAACCGTTTATTTTCTTCAATAGGATTATTATTTGCCCCTACACGGATTTTAAATCATACTTATACCAACCTTCGTTAATTTCGCCTTATATATTATCGGCAGTTGGAAGGTTGATCTCTAATAAATCAAGATATTATCCTAACCTCAATTTTCTGTAAGAAAAGAAGGATCTTATGTACGATTAACATAGTGTAACGTAGAAATAAAGATAACTTTTAAGTATAAGGAAATTACATCTAGTCAGCGTTTCCATTTTTCCTTTTTTGTTTTGTTTTGTTTTGTTTTGTTTTCCTTTTTTTGTGTTTTTTTTTTCGAAAACCAAAGTAAATAGAGGGAAACTGAAAATAAACAAAAATGATAAGCAAACATGAGATCTACAAATGAGTTACTATTCAGCATTGGCGAACTAATCTATCGACTCCTTTGGAGATATTGTCCTTGAATATTTTTACCCATTTATGTTTTCTTCTTCTTCGGAAACAATAGTGAATAGAGAGAAACTGATAAAAAGAAAAAAATAAGCAAAATAAGATTTACAAATGAGTTTTCAAAATCACCAGTCTTACATTTGTGTTATACATTTTGTCATGCAAGGACTTTTTAAAGCTTACTATATGGTATGGGGTTTGAAGACCATATTGTCAGTTGACTCAGTGCTCTATAGTTGTTTTCATCCTTGTCGTTTGGTTACTGGTGGATAGTTGTTCATAGGTATCATACCACATCTCCTTATATTTCACACTGGTGGAACTCATTCAAGACGGAGACACTGAAGAGATATCATACATTTTTATTATACGCAGACGATTCAGTTTATAAAGAATGTTTTATGACGACTCTGTTATTATCTTTACAAACATATACTTATAGGATGTCGCAACAATACATATGGTCTAGATTGTCAGAATAAATGTAATTGCACAGACGTCCAAAAGTGTGACCACAGAACTAGAGAATGCAAGAAATGCAAAAGGAAGTGTGAAGATGATGACGGAGGAGATGATGATGATGATGATGATAAGTCCACGGTATCAACCCACGGTAGCGATCTTTTTCATTAAGTTTTTACTGACTCAATGTTTACATATCTTTATTATGATATTCCCTTATCTTGAGTGTTCTGTTTTTTCTATCTTGTTTATTATATTTTTAAACTTTATTTAGCAGAATGACTGTAACACCCAATGTCATTGCATCACGTACACAATTGTCAAAATGAAACTTAAAAAAGTATGCAGCAGATTTATAAATATATCGAAGAAGTTTAACTGATAATTTATTAATAACTATTTCATTCTTTTGAAAATACACGTATTACAATTTTCAAAGGGTGAAGTGAAACCTATAGTTAGTCATCATTGCATTTTCATTAGTCGATGTTGTACTTATTAAGGATGTACTTAGGTGAGGGTTTGGATTTTTTGTCAGATGTTCTGACTCCTTGTTTGTTTTCCTACGATACAGGTGTTTGCCCCATAACACGCATTTTTCTTTTCATATAAGACTTCAATAGCTCATAAAAGGTCATTAGCAAAAATTTAAGCAGATTCTAGATTTCTTTTCCTTCGATTGAGACCCAAATACTATCAATGCAAATATAATTTAAAAGTCCGCGTCAGCCTTTTCCCGCCATTTACAAAAAATTAAATATTTCGAAAAGGATTTTTTTAATTGCACCTAAGTACATCCTTAACACCCAAATATGTATAAATGTATTAAAATAAAATTACCTCTGCAGACTATAGTACAACACCAAGACCACAGTCAACAGTGAAGAGTTCTGCACCTTCAACAGTTATAGGTGCAACTGAAGCTGACAATGGAACTCAATACAGTACGTAATAAAACAGTTTGTCTTAAAAGGGAAGAGGACACTTGGCTCTATCTTAACTTACATTATGAATAAACAAGATATGTTCAGTATAAAACAATTGCATGTTTCAAACGATTTTTTCAGTTGCTAGGAATAACCAGTTTTTCCTTCGGCATAAGGTATGAAAGGAGAAAACTGGGACCTGAGTCGCAATGTGTTCTCCACACATGTATAAAACCCTTACCATGTTGCATAAGAATTGAACCAACCTGGACACCAAGGATTATTTTTCACATCACTTTTTATTTTTATTTTATATTTGTGTTTCCAATAACAGAAAAATAGAGGGCCATTGATACCAATGGGAAGTTTATGTCCGTAAAATATCGAACAGTTTACCAAACAATGGAACTAAACTGAATACATGCATGTTAATCACTTTACATCACCTATAATTGTCCATGTCCAAATTTGTATCTTGATCAGATTTACATCACTATTGTCCACTTTAAACATTTGATTAGAAAGTTTGTATTTTGATAATGTAACCAGTTATTCGAAAGTACAATTCATTGTATAAAATGGTAAGATTTCCTAAGATTGTTTTATGAATGTGTGACTGTTAGATAGCAAAAATGGTATTTTAAGTCTTTCCGTTTTTTTTATTTAATTCAGATATAACTACAGTCCATCCTTGTGACATATGTGAACAGTTTGGAAACTGTTCGAATGAACCCGGCTGCGCTTTAGTACCAGCAGGACATGGTACGTAAACTATTAATACAAAAATAGAAATAAGCGGTCCGATTGCCAATGAGATTCGTCTGAGGCCTTCGGAAGAGGACGTATACATCTTTAGGTCACCAAACGGTCTGCAATAATGAACAAACCATTAGCCAATGACAGCTTCTGAAGTACAGGGTCCTGACTTTGGTAAGGCACACACATACAGTGGCGGGGTTTAACATATTTGGGAACGTTCACCCCTCCCTAAACATGAAACAGTATTGTAAGAACACAACATAACACACTGTTAAAATAAGTTGAGAGAGTCATGTATCAAATTGAATTTACGAAGGTACTTTGCAGATTACCAATCAGTATCTCATAAAATCTATAAGTTATACAGTGTAATAACATTCCCAATTAAAAAGTATATTTGAGTAAAATGACGAAATAATTTGGTAAATAGAATGACGATATCATAGAGAGAATTACATTTTTTTAGAAATACTATTTTCGAGATCTGATCTTAGGGGAAGGGAAACTTTATTTAAATTTTTGAAACTCCGAGAATTCTGATAGTCATATGAAGTTGTCTCATTGGAAATCATACTGTTTATGGTGTAAACATTAATTTAAATACAAATACACACGTGCACTCGTCTAAATACGATTTTTCTAGGTCGTTTTGATTTCATGTTATTGATATATGATTTAAATATATGATAAGCAAGTCTCAAAGGGTACTAAATCCCCAAAACAAAGTAAGATCATAAACAAATATTAAATATTTCGGATAACTAATATCCTTCATCAGTAAGATGTCAAATGATTCTTATCTTGACATGTGGTAGTCAAACTGAAATAATGATCTTGATCGTTATACAAATTATCACGTATCAATACGCTGTTTAATTTTTTAAATATTGATGTTTGGGAGGAGGTATAAATTCCTTAAAACTGTGGGAGTCCTGTACTGAAGCCTAAGTTACAGGAAACAAGTGATAGTAGGGACTCATTCTATGTTTTTTCATTAATGCCCTCTGGGGTAACTGTCCTTAACTTTCTTATCCAAAAACTTTCCCGAGCAAGTCTGTCGACCCTTGAACAACCCTCGTTGTGGTCTATGATAGTGATGATAAGGTTTTTGAGATCAGATTGGGCTTCCCCAGGTGGTCTCAAATGACTACTTACGGGGAGGTCGTTCATGCGTATTTTGAAATGCTGTTCTGTCTCGCCAACATACTGCATGCCACATCGACACTGAAGAAGGTATACAACAATCTGGGTATTGCAAGTTACATTGCAATATATAGTGTTTACGGACCCAGTGAAGTGGCAAGTAAATGTTTGAGTATTCAGTATTTGTTGGCAAGTTAGACATCGTCTGTTACCGCACGACTTGCACCGATATATATATGTATAATCGTTTTTATATAATACTCTTTGCGAAAATGATTTTGTGTGGGAAGATTAGTCAACGTAGGAGTTTTTCACACTGACTGCCTTGTTTCACTTTTAAATGTTGTCATTCTTTTCTGAACCTTGCTGCTTGACGTTGTAATCTGTTGCTGCATTTTCTACTATTGAACGCACTAGTAAAGAATGCGGGACAACTCGGCCCGGAGACAAGTCGGACCGAGTCCAATCGGACCGACTAATAAGACAACTCGGACCGTCTATGAAGACAATTTGGACCGTCAATAAGTCAACCACGACCGTCCATAATGACAATTCAGACAACGTATTAAAAGAGGATTTGAACTATATAAATGATTATAAATTATTAAATGTTATATTTTACATGACAATATCATTTCGGCATGCTGCTGAAGTTGTAAAACATGATAAAAATACTGTATAATGTGAATACAAATTTCTACATGTCTTTTTCAATTTATTAATTTAATTTGCAAAACAAGATAAAAAAAAATTGGTTAAATGTGAATACAAATTTTTACTTGTGTTTATCAATTTATTATAAAACTTAACTGAGGCAAAACAAAGTCTAGGTTGAATTTTTTTTATTTATTTTTTGAATTCTTTATTAATTATTTTAACGTCAACTGGGACCCTAAATAATGCCAACTATAACGAAGTATAAGTATTTATCTTATGTGAATGACATACTTGTTTTGATTTATTGTACCTCTTAGGTTTTACTTAGTGCTTAAATTATCTGTTTTTATGTAAATAATGCACTTGCTAATTGATAAAATAAAGATATGTATGTATATATTATAGTTATAGTCTTTTGGAAATTGGAGTATGCTTGGACTAATTCTACAATACTTGAGGATATATTAAACAAAACAAAACAAAAAAAAGAGAATCTACCAAAACATTACAAACATTATTTACTAACACAGCTTTCAAACAACAGAAATAAAAAAAATCTAGAGAACATCACTCAATTGTATTTTTAGATGTCTAGACGGCCTTCTTAGACGGTCCGAATTGTCTTTTTTGTTATTTATATACTCAAAATCGGCATCAAAACTTTATTAGAAACTTCCCATCAGACACAGTCTTTTCATTAAATCATTTATTTCGTCAAAACTCTAATTTTATACTTAGTCTGGGTTGTCATTATAGACGGTCCGAGTTGTCTTCATAAACGGTCCGAGTTGTCTTTTTTGTAGACGGTCCGAGTTGTCTCCTGGCCGACTTGTCTCGCACCCCTGGTAAAATGCAAGCAGTTTTCTTACACTCCAGTGGGCAGCACCTTATGCTCCTTCCTAGAAAACCTTGAGTTTGCCTTTTTTGCAACATTTGTTATGTGTGTGGTTCACTTCAGATCTTCTGTTATTTGAACTCTTAGTCATGGGTTGTTTTGGACTTGTTGGATGATTTGAGTGTATAAAATATCTGGCTATTGTTTTTAATGCGTAAGATGTAACATTGTTTTGCATTCTTCTAGGTTCGCTAGATCTTAATGCAATAGTTTGTGGTCTTTTTCTGTTTTGATGGTCTAAACAGTAAACCGTCATCAGCGAACAGTCATACTTAAGATATTACAGTGTCCCGGAGGTCATTTATTTGACATAAGAATAACGGACAATATACAGTTCCATTAAGGATTGCTATGTCAGTTTGAAGGCTGGCGTCGAATGTGTTCATGAAGTCATGTCGGGTGACTAGCAATTGTGTTTCGCACGAATAGCCAGATCTGAATCCATGAATGAGCTATGCTAATACTCTATGCATTTTAAGATGTTTTGAGATGTGCTTGCACATTACATGTTCTAGTAGTGTGCAAGGTACCAATGTCAATGAGACTGGTCTGTAACTGTCGGCAGCGCGTTCTCTCCCTTCTTGAATACACACGAAATGAGTCTTCAGTCTTCAGATAATATTCCAGCGTATATTGATGTTTGGAAGATAGCAGTTAGGCCTGGTGATATTTCTGTTGCACATTCTTTCAGAGTTTTGTTTGGTATACCCTCTGGTCCAGATGCTTTAGATGGATTTACATCTTTAAGTTGTTTTCACAACCTTTTGATGGTATTTGTTGTTGAAGTATAGATTCGTTTATGTATTTCGTTGTTTTGGGTTTTGATGTTAAAAGGTCAATTGTGAATACTTATCTAAATTGTTGGATTAATATTTCCGTATTCTATTTGTTGTCAACTGATCAATTTCCCTTTGGTTATTAATGGTTTTTAAAGGTGATGAATCGATGTTATCAGCTTTTCTGGATTTGGTGTACTTCCAAAATAGCTTAGTGTTGTTTGATTCAAGGCCTTTGATGATGGTATCATTGATGTACGAGTATTCTACTTTTCTGACTTACCTTTTTACTTCTTTTTGGAATTGTTTATAGTTTGTTCCTTTTTTAGTTCGCTTAACTTGTTGGTGTAGCCTTTATTTATTATTTTTGTGGCTTATCCAGGTTAGGTTATTCTTGGAGCGGATTTCTTTATATGGTATATTTTTGCCCATACTTTGTAAATCTTCTCTCTTGAAGGTGTCGCTCATGTCTTGTACATTTATATATGTTTTCTACATCTGTCTTATTTTTGTTGATGTTGCTTCGTAGCTAATTATGCTAATGTCCCTTTCAGACATCAATAATTTTGTCAAACTTTCGCATAATACATGTGTAATATTAATTGCATGCTAAACGCTGGATTCTACGGAACCCTTTACGATTAAAAAAAATGCATTGTATACATATGAAAGAATAAATGCTTACTATGTTTAAAATAACCTGTTTTGAAACTAATTCAAGTGTGTTATTCTTTTCAGGAAGTAAGGTTAAAGAAGGCTTAGGAAAGGGTCATACAATATTAATTGCCGTTGTTCTGTCTTTAGCCATACTTACAATTCTATTAATTACCTGTATTGTCTTAAGAGAAAGGTGAGTAAATATTTTCGGATAACTATAGTAATAGATTTAAATACACACATACATACATTATATGAAACAATAATTACTACTACAGATTAAAAGAATTCAAAACAATTAGTATATCCTAATGTAACAAATAATATTTTGTCATATTTAAGTTGTCTGAAAAAGTGTAAATTTATTCTATCCATTCTTTTCATTTCGGCAGACCGAGTTCAGATTTGTTTGTTTGAAGTCAAATCTGTTGATATTCGTTTAATAAAGAAGCTATATGTCATATCATGCTTATAGACTGAACATTTTGTACCTAGGTCAAAGCAGAAGATAAAGAGTTTCGTCAATGATAAAAGAGAGGCGAAAGATACCAGAGGGACATTCATACTCATAAATTGAAAATAAACTGAAAACGCCATGTTAAAAAAGAAAAAGAAAAACAATAGTTCACAAAACATAACATTGAAAACTAAAGACTAAGCAACGGGAACCCAACCAAAAACTGGGGATGATCATAGGTGCTCCGGAAGGGTAAGCAGATCCTGCTCCACATGTGGCACTCGTCGTGTTGCTCATGTTAGTACAAACCCTGTAATAAGTCTAATGCGGTAGGTCACATTCGTGAAAAGGGGAACGAGATTGTAGTTACGGCATAAGGAACATATCCGCTATCATCTGAGAAACGGATATTCCATAACGTCAACCAACTCGTGATGGTGTCCTTAAAATTTACGAGGGGATGATTTCAATTTCACCATTTGGAACACTTGGTTTAATAGCTTCCTTGTGAGCAGCAACCCTACTGTGAGCAGTATTGTAAACATACATTACCAACCTTAAGTTGCAAGTCCCTGAGTAAAAGTCTACCATAGACAGATTTTTCAGTTTCATTTAGAATTTATTTGTTTTCGACTTTCTAGGGTACACAATGTTATTATATACTAATGTATTTGCCTTCACTGATTTGAATGATGTTTCTCTTTTGGTCGTTTTGTGGTTTTTATACGACCGCAAAAAAATTTTGTGGTCGTATATTGGTATGACGTTGGCGTCGTCGTCGTCGTCGTCGTCGTCGTCCGGCGTCGTTTTCGTCGTCGTCGTCGTCCGGCGTCGTCGTCCGAATACACATTGGTTTTCGCACTCTAACTTTAGTTTAAGTGAATGGATCTTTTTGAAATTTGACCATAAGGTTAAATACCACAAAAGGAAGGTTGGGATTGATTTTGGGGGTTATGGTACCAACAGTTAAGGAATTAGGGGCCAAAAAGGGGCCAAAAATAAGCATTTTCTAGTTTCCAGACAATAACTGTGCAACGGTGTATGGATCTCTCTGAAATTATACTACAAGTTTCCATACCACAAAGGGATGGTAAGGATTTGCATTGGGGGGTTATGGCTCAAACCGTTTAGGAATTAGGGGCAAAAAAGGGGGAAAAACAATGTTGTCCTGGTTAATGGACAAATACTTTAGTACAAAACATAATTTAAAGCAGTGTAAGGGAGATAAATCAAATACATCATTGAAATTATCTCCCTTACACTGCTTTTAAATTATGTATAAAGTAATGGTTAATGAACAATAAAGATAATTTAAAACAGTGTAAGGGAGGTAATCCAAATACAACGTTTTAGTTACTTCCCTTACACTGCTTTTAAATTATGTTTAAAGAAATGCATATTTATAAAGGAAGACCAGTAAAAATATCTGCAAATGTTGCATCTTTTTTTCTTTTACAAAAAAATCCATATGAAAGATTTGACACTATATTTTTAATTCTATTATAAAATAGATTAAGTTAGCACTATGGTAAATTTAAATGGGTAATTATGGTTGCCAACTCCATTGGAAATTTGAATTGAGATTATGACTATATCTTGAGGGAAAGAATTTTTTGGGGGAAAAAAGGTGGGGGGGGGGGATAAAAAGAAATTGTGGGGGGTCAATTTTTTCTCATTTCAGATTTCAGAAATTAAAAAGAATTATTCTTCAAATATTTTTTTTTTTTCAAATTTCAAATATTGAAAAATTTCAAGAAGTAATCTTTAATTGCACAGTATGGCGCATTAGATTTGTAAAATCTTTGATCACATTTATTTATTTGTTATGCCGAATCTAACAGTGTATTTAGATTTTTAATTTTGGGTCCAGTTTTCAAATTGGTCTACATTAAGGTCCAAAGGGTCCAAAATTAAACTTTGTTTGATTTTAGCAAAAATTGAATATATGAGGTTCTTTGATATGCTGAATCTAAACATGTATTTAGATTTTTGATTTTTGGCCCAGTTTTCAAGTTGGTCCAAATTGGGGTCCAAAATTAAACTTTGTTTGATTTCAACAAAAATTGAATATATGGGGTTCTTTGATATGCTGAATCTAACCATGTATTTAGATTTTTTATTTGTGGACCCCGTTATCAAATTGGTTCATATTGAGGTCAAAAGGGTCCAAAATTAAACTTTGTTTGATTTCATCTAAAATTGAATTATTGGGGTTCTTTGATATTCCAAATCTAACCGTGTATTTAGATTTTTAATTTTGGGTCCTGTTTTTTAATTTGGTCTACATTAAGGTCCAAAGGGTCCAAAATTAAGCTTAGTTTGATTTTAACAAAAATTGAATTCTTGGGGTTCTTTGATATGCCGAATCTAAACATGTGTTTAGATTTTTGATTATGGGCCCAGTTTTCAAGTTGGTCCAAGATAGGGTCCAGTATTTAAACTTTGTTTGATTTCAACAAAAATTGAATATATGGGGTTCTTTGATATGCTGAATCTAAACATGTATTTAGATTTTTGATTATGGGCCCAGTTTTCAAGTTGGTCCAAATTGGGGTCCAAAATTAAACTTTGTTTGATTTCCACAAAAATTGAATATATTAGGTTCTTTGATATGCTGAATCTAACCATGTATTTAGATTTTTTTATTTGTGGGCCCCCCTATCAAATTGGTTCATATTGAGGTCAAAAGGGTCCAAAATTAAACTTTGTTTGATTTCATCAAAAATTGAATTATTGGGGTTCTTTGATATTCCAAATCTAACCGTGTATTTAGATTTTTAATTTTAGGTCCCGTTTTTTAAATTGGTCTACATTAAGGTCCAAAGGGTCCAAAATTAAACTTAGTTTGATTTTAGCAAAAATTGAATTCTTGGGGTTCTTTGATATGCTGAATCTAAACATGTGTTTAGATTTTTGATTATGGGCCCAGTTTTCAAGTTTGTCCAAGTTGGGGTCCAAAATTAAACTTTTTTTGATTTCAACAAAAATTGAATATATGGGGTTCTTTGATATGCTGAATCTAACCATGAATTTAGATTTTTTATTTGTGGGCCCGCTATCAAATTGGTTCATATTGAGGTCAAAAGGGTCCAAAATTAAACTTTGTTTGATTTCATCAAAAATTGAATTATTGGGGTTCTTTGATATTCCAAATCTAACCGTGTATTTAGATTTTTAATTTTAAGTCCCGTTTTTTAAATTGGTCTACATTAAGGTCCAAAGGGTCCAAAATTAAACTTAGTTTGATTTTAGCAAAAATTGAATTCTTGGGGTTCTTTGATATGCTGAATCTAAACATGTATTTAGATTTTTGATTATGGGCCCAGTTTTCAAGTTTGTCCAAGTTGGGGTCCAAAATTAAACTTTGTTTGATTTTAACAAAAATTGAATATATGGGGTTCTTTGATATGCTGAATCTAACCATGTATTTTGATTTTGGACATTGGACCATAATAGGTAAATTAAAAAAATTCAAGTTCTTAGACCACATTCTTTCTGTGTCAGAAACCTATGCTGTGTCAAATATTTAATAACAATCCAAATTCAGAGCTGTATCAAGCTTGAATGTTGTGTCCATACTTGCCCCAACTGTTCAGGGTTCGACCTCTGCGGTCGTATCAAGCTGCGCCCCAGCGAAGCATTTTATTTGCCATGGCATCGTCTGTTTATTTTCGACTTATGACTTTGAATATTCCTTAGATATCGATCGACTCTATTTTTCAGAGTACGTAATCAATGCAATTAAAAAAAGTTCAATTGTTTAATCATATATTGACTACTTATATTAACATCATTTGCTCCTTTTCAGAAATCACAGAAAACAGAAACAGAAAATAAAAGAATCAGCACTAGGTATAGATATATGACAACTTTTACACAATTATATTATCGGCTTGATTTGTAAAACTGAACAAATATTGTAAATAGAGAATACGAATTTGAGTGGATCAATAATAATAGATGTTCATCTTAACTATGTAAATTATTTCAGTGCTTTTTAACTTTGTAAGGACGTAATAGATGGTGACAATTAGTAGTTCTGATTGATCAGGGGCAACCTATCGTATCTAAACATATATATTAGTCGTACTGGTCAATTTGTAGCACCCTTGATTTGGTTTCAAGCATTCAAAACACATGTAGCCAGTAGTTATATCCATTCACCAATAGTTGTATAACCGTTGTATTATCCATGTTATGGGGATTTTGAGTGATTGATTGATTATACCATTATGGATTATAACATATGTATTGAAGCTCGAAAATTTGCAATAAAAGTAAATGTTTTCTATGTCTATCCAAGTATTATATTTTGCACCCTTATAATACTGTCCCGACATTCATGTTTTCTCTCAATAAATGTTCGGATAAGGAATTATCTGTTGGCAATGCCAATTGTGTACTTGTTTGTAGAATAATTACAATTCATTTTTCCAAACATTTCGCTAGAAATATGACTGTTGACATTATGAATTTAACTTTTGTAGTGATCTTTCTAAGTAAGTTTGATAGTCTTTGTTAATCTTACTAACATATTTTAAGACATGGATTGCTTAGACTTGTCATACTGTTTAGCCACTGGCTGTTTTGGAGACCTGTCTTTAGTTTATTATGTTGTTAGGTTTTTGGCTTATTGATCTATATCCGCAAAGATCATGGATTGTGATGTTTTTTTAATTTAAATTTCAGTTAAATTTTCCAGCTCCGATGAAACAACAGAGTATGTCGATCCAGAACCTGTATATTCTGAAATAAAAGAAGAAGAAATAGGTGTACGAAATGGGAACTGTTATACACCAAACCTTCCAGACATACCTGTCAATCATGAATACTATAAACTGCCAGAAACAGATAAAAACATCGAAACAGATGAGTGTGGGTATCTCAACCCTTACACTGCATTACGATTCGCACGAAGTGAAAGTAATCTGTTCAGGGACAGAGACTTGCGTGATAAAGGAACATATGATGTAACATATTCCTTAGCAAAAGCGATACAAAGGGACGATAACTCAAGTGCCGAGGAGCATGGAGATTTGGATAAACTCATGAATGATTCTAGTCAGAAAGATGAACGGTCCAGTGATGTGCCGGTTTATTTTGTGCTGGAAAAAAATGATAAACAAACTGAATCTCATGATAACCCTGAACGAGAAAAACTTTTGAAACGGGAGTCAAAATCAAGGTCGAGCATTTAATTTAGACAAACACATTATTTAGTGCAATATTTATTGTTAAAATTGCAGTTATATGTCAATATGACGTTGCTTTGAATTCTAAGCTGACAAAGATCAGTCTATATAGTAATTGCATCATTGTTGATCTGTAGTTACTAAGTTTCCGTCATACTGGTACTTATTTATTTAATATATTGAATTGGTATGTTCTCAAGTTAAACTAGAGATACAATTGCTACTTTCCTAGGAAAAGTTTGTTTGAACTATTTTGATGTTTTGTACAGGTCATTTTAGGTAGTTTTGTCTCAACATTTTTGACTTTGTGTATATGTGTATCAAACTTTTTGTGTATTTAACTTCTTAATTGTTAGGCCATGAGCGTATGTCATTTGATTTATTCCTTGATACACTTGTCATGTGCACTAAAAAATTAGAATAACAGTATCTTTAATGTATGAAATGTGTGTACAAACATGTCAATTTGACATGATATACACTAATATTACCTTATATAGCCCTGCTTGTAGATAATTATACTGTTGACCATGTATCAAGCACGTTCCATTTGTATCTGAACAGTTTACATTCTGGTGTTTTGCAATAGTTTTTCAGATTTCCGGGACAAGTTTGCACTTCCGCTGAGTGCAAAAGTTGTCACCTTAATTTTTGGAGTTAAGTCAAATTGAAGTTGATAACTTGGTTGGTATTGGTTCCCTGATATTTGTCCTAAAAAATTTTGG